CAGCACCGTCAGGGATGCGACTCTGGTACTGCCCTAGCCCTCCACATGTTTCTACTCACTTAAGCCCACACCCACCCTCTGATGCTATTCTTATCTCTGTTTTGCAGAAGAGGAAACTCAGCCTCAGAAAGGGCGAGTGACTTGTCCAAGGTCACACAGTCAAAAGGATGACCCAGATCTGCTGATTCCCCAGCCCCTGCCTTATCCCATTGAGGTGGGTAGCAGGAGAGAAGAAGTACCCTAGACAAGATGGTGGGAACCCTAAAATCCTCTGTTCCTCCCCATGAGTCCTCAAACTCAGGGAAGACTCCAAATCCAGAAAAGTAGAAAGAAGAAGCAAAGCTCACCCATGCCTCCACTTCCCAGGAAGAGCACTGTGCAGTTTTCAGAAACGCATATAATTCTTACAGAAATGATATAATGCTACCAATGCTGTTTTATAACCTCTTTAAAAAAAAAAAACTCCACGACACACTATGAAGTTCTTTATGCAACAATAAATTTAGCTCCGTGGCCCCGTTTCTAACAGCTGCAGCAGGCGCCACTGTGTGGCTGCAGTCAAATGGCTTTAACTGGCCCCGTGGTGATGGACAAACGGGTTGTCCCCAATTGTCCTGCTAACAGCAACGATGTTACGTGAGCACTGTCCAGCATGGCTGGATCCACATCATCCTTTCGGGTCTCAGCTCAAATGCCATCTCCTTAGAGAGGGCCATCTTGGACAGTGCCATGTCACACAGGCCTCCTACCGGTTCATCTTCATGATGTCACCATGTTAATTTCCCTCACTGCACCAATGGAGTCTCTCCTCATTCCATTTATGTCTTTGGATGACTGTATAATATCTGCCCCTCCCCAAGCCTGTGTGCTCCAGGAAGGGTGTGGACTAGCAGGGACTAGACTCAAGAGATGTCCTTGGAACGCATGAATGAAGAGATGCCCTGTCAGGGCAGCAGACTGCCCCGCTCCATGACATGTCCCCAGAGTCAGTTCAGGGCCCCACAGAGCGGCCTTGGAACTCACTTCCAGCCATGTGCTGCTTGGAGCATCTATGCCCAGATGCCTGCCCCAGCAGAGACCCCGGCACCAAGCAAGGCTTTCTGCACGCACAGGATACAAGGCAATGGAGCCTGGCAGAGCAGCTCCACTATCCACTGTCTGTGTGGACTTAGGCCTCAGTCCCCTCATCTGTAAAATGGGGCCAATACTGCTAATCTCACAAGGTTGTTCTGAAGATTAAAGAAGGTAACAAATGTGTTTAGCACATAATAGGTCCTCAGAAAATTGCAGTTTGGCGCCCCCCATCCAGTGAGTTCACAGGTGGGTCTGACCCTGTCTCACCTGGATGGCATTTTTTACCTTTAAAAATTTTTAATGTTATTTGTTTATTTATTTATTTAGAGACAAGGTCTTGCTCTGTTGCCCTGGCTAAGGTACAATGGCATGATTATACCTCATCGCAGCCTCAAACTTTTGGGCTCAAGTGATCCTCCCACCTCAGCCTCCTGAGTAGCTGGGACTACTGGCACATATCACTATGCCTGGCTAATTTTTAAAAAATTTTTTTGGAGAAGGGGGTCTTGCTATGTTGCCCAGGCTGGTCTTGAACTCTTGGCCTCAAGCCATTCTCCCACCTCACTCTTTTATTACTTTGGATGAGACTTGAGTATGCCTTGGCCTTCTCCTTGGGCCTGTCCCTAGGAATGTCCCACTCCTATCCTTTAATACAATTTTTTTTTTTTTTGAGACAGGGTCTCACTCTGTCACCCAGGCTAGAGTGCAGTGGTGCAATCTCGGCTCACCATAACCTCTGCCTCCTGGGCTTGAGTGATCTTCCCACTTCAGCCTCCCAAGTAGCTGGGACTGCAGGTACGTGCCACCACACTCAGCTATTTAATTTTTTTTTTTTTTAGTGATGAGGTTTCACTATACTGCCCAAGCTGATCTTGAACTCCTGGGCTCAAGCAATCTTCCTGCCTCAGCCTCCCAAAGTGCTGGGATTACAGGTATGAGCCATTGCGCCCAGCTCTTTGACACTTGTTAAACAGCTAAATGCTCTGCTCTGTCCCCTTGGAGACTCCCAGGCCCCTCATCTGCTGCCTATGACTGCACACACCTGCCTGGCCTCCCAAGCCTTAAAAATACAAGAAGCACAGACGTGTCTGAGGAACAAATGGAGGAACCCCCGACCTTTTGCAGGGAACTTCCTGGACCCTAATCCTTGCACATGAGGCTTAAATCAGTGTGTCTGGTTTCTCATCAAACCTCCTCCACTCTTTGGCAGCACAACAAGTAGCTTTACCTCTCCAAGCCTCACTTTCCTCCTCTGTAAAATGGGCAGAATAAAAGAATCCAGGAGGATTCAAGAAGATAAAAAATGCTTAGCAAACAGCCTGTTAGCAAGTGCTCAATAAACGTTAGCTATTATTGTTACAATTTTTTTTAGCCTTTTTACGGTGATATGTAATATAGACAGTAAAGTGCACAAAACAAAAATGTTTACTGCAATAAAATATCAGAAGGAAACAGTCATGTAACCACCACCCAGGCCACTGCTGGCCCCTCAGAAACCCCCTAAGGTTCCCTTCCCAATCTTTTGCCTTCTTTTCTCCACCAAGGGAATCCTTGTCCAGCCTTTATGGTACCATTATTATTATTATTATTACTATTATTATTATTATTTGAGACAGAGTCTGGCTCTATTGGCCAGGCTGGAGTGCAGTGGCACGATCTCAGCTATTGCAACCTCCGTCTCCTGGGCTCAAGCAATTCTCCTGCCTCAGCCTCCCAAGTAGCTGGGATTACAGGAGCCTGCCACCACGCCTGGCTACTTTTTGAATTTTTAGTGGAGATGGGGTTTCACCATGTTGGCCAGGGTGGTCTCGAATTCCTGATCTCAGGTAATCCACCCACCTCGGCCTCCCAAAGTGCTGGGATTACAGGCCTGAGCCACCGTGCCCAGCAGCCATTACTGTATTAATAAGTGGATGAAAAAAAAAAATGACTGTGTGGCCATTCTGCTGTGATCCAACCAGGTCCCTTGGTCTCAGGACCCAGCACTCCTGGCTGCCTCTGCCCTGGAGACACCTCATCCCATTTTCCAGCTCCGGCTTCAGCTGTTCTTTAAATAACCAGCTTGTTAGCAAAATAGCAGCAGTAACACCTCCCTCGCTGCCGCCCGGGCCTCCATCTTTCCACACGATGCTGACGGCTGCTCACCCAGCTCGTGCCAAGGAATCCCGTTCTCCGTCACTGGGCCACACACGCCAGGGGCTGTCTGCTCAGCTGCGTTCTCAGAGCCTGGCCCGGGGGGTGGAGGTGGGCACTGGATGGCAGTAATTTTCAGGAAATACTGGGCTGATAACAGATGAGCCCTCATCCCCAAGTCCCTGCCTCAGTCTCCCCATCCACAGGGTTAGGGGGGAGTTCAACTGAAATAATGAAAAACGCAAAGCATTTAGTGCAATGCCAAACACATAGTAATTGCTCAAGAAATGCTTGCTGTTCTTCAGCCGGCCCTCATTACACATTTAGTCCCTGGAGAGGCCTTGCATTCCTTGAGCACAGTAAGGAGTGTTTGCAAATGATTAAATCCTACAGACACAGCTCTCAGACCAAGCTGTCCTTATCACCTTTCCTGCACCAGCTTCTCAGCCAAAAGCAATGGCTATTTGTAGCTGCAACCACAGACTAGCAGCTGGGTCGGGGGAGACAGGTTGGGGGGGTGGCTAATTAATGGGGCCCTTTTCATGGTTAGTCATAATAAGGCTGGCACCACCCCAGTGGGCAGCTCCTTGTTCTCATAGAAGCACTTCTACATACATTATCTACAGTGAACTTCATGGGTTAACAAAAATAAAACAAAAAGATCCCATTGTATTTGCATATTATACATATTTACGAATCTTTTCCCTTCTCATAACCATTCCATCAGGGAAGTTGGGCAGGCTCTAGCAGATGAGAGAATCGGGACCAGAGGAGCTGGCCACCCTGCTGAAGGCATGGGTTCACTGCAAGTCATCTGGGGCAGCAGGGACCAGCACTGGCCAAAAAGCAGGAGGCTCTCGGGCCCTGCTGGTGTCCGGGTGGAGGGAGGTGAGAGAGGCTTCCCTCCTTCTCTCCCTCTTTCCTTCCTTCCACAGCTATTTACTGGGTACCCACTGTATGCCTGGCATGGGGCCTGCTGCTAGCTGGCCAGAGGGGAATGAAGTGGTTGTTCTTTGTCCTTGCAGAGCTAAGGCCAGAGAAAGAGGCAGATTTTTACCCCAGTGGCCCCATGTAGTGCTTCGTGGTGGCTGGGTGAGCCTGCGCGTAAGCCCCTTGACCTGGTTGAGCCTCTGTTTCTACATCTGTGAACTAGACTGTTATGCCAGCAGCGCCTTGGGAAGTGGAAGGTGAAGAAAAGATGCAAGCAGCATGGTGAAGCGGTGGCACTGTGGTTGCACCCCCAAACAGATGGTCAGAGACAGGGCAGGCCCAGCATCTCATCCCGATGGCAAGGTGGGAGCTGGAGGAGCATGGGGAGAACAGGCCAGAGGGGTAAGAATGCAGGGCCCCCCAAGATTCAAGAATTCTGATGGCCTCCCCTCAAACCACCCTGAGGGCCCCAGAGGTTCCATGGCCTTCAGCACAGCTCACGGCTCCCTTCCTGTCCTGAGCCTATGTGCACCACCTGCTCCCACCTGCTTGGGTGTGGCAAGAGCTGGCCTTTGAGGTGGACAGAGCTGGGCTTGCTGTGCACCCCAGGCAGGTGGCTTCCCCTCTCTGAGGCTGATTCCTCTGGAAAATGGGAGTGATCACCACACCCACCTCCTGGTTGTCGGGAGGACTGGCTAAGACAGGCCAGTTGAACTATAAATGGTGCCCAGACATATACAAACTCTCACTGAGGTCCCTCTGCCAGCGTGTGGGTGCCAGTGGAAGTGAGGCTGGGCATTTCCCAACTGTGCCAAGCATGGGGGGCTGGTGAGGAGACCAGGCCTGCGGACGCAGTTACTTACCAACCAGGGAGCTATGAGCACAGGAAACACAGCAAGCTGTCGGGGCCCAGCAGGCATCAGCTCAGGCGCGGGCACTGGACCGAGGGCTGGCACACACATCCCTCTAGGCACTCGATCAGAGGTGCCGGCAGGAAGCAGCTCGGGACAGGGGCTCTGCCACCGCCCGGGGGTCACCAGGTCCAGGTCACACACAGGGCCCCAAGGTTCCTGGCAGAGGTGAGGCACGGGTGCCTGCAGGAATGGGGAAGAATGGTGATTAGGAGGTGCTGGAGGTAAGCCCTCCACCTGAGACCCTTGGACTGGCCCTGGGGACACGAGGGAAGGAGACAACATGGAACAGTGGTCATAGAAACCCAACTGTTTGCACAACACTACATTTTTCCAAAGCACCCTGGCATCCCAGCTCATGTGCGCACCCACATTGTTTTTTTAGAGGCAAATCTGCATGTCATGCATATTTACAATGCCTTTCCCACCACCCACAGAATCCCCACAGCAGCCAGGAAGCTGGGTTCCAAAGGCTCAAATCCTTCCCTGTCTTGCTTCTTCCTCCTTTTCCCCGGATGGGGGAAGTCGGGAAAGGGGCAGGAGTCATGCGGTCCTGAGTTCAAATCCCAGCTCAGCCTCTCACATGTGGGGTGACACCGGGGAGGCAGCTTCCCCTTTCTGAGCCTTAATTTCCCCACCAGCCAAATGGGAACAAGAGCGCCACCTCTGAAGGCTACTGTGAGGACTGAGAAGACAGTGCAGGTGAAATATTTGGTGCATAATATGTGCCCAATAAGCCCAACAAAGGCACTTCTAAGAGGCCCTTCACTGCATCGCATCACCATCTCCATGTGGCGCATCTCGTGTGAGAGCACAGGGAAGCCAGGTGTCCCTCTCCACCCACTTCCCCTGAACAGGTGTCACTGCTCCTGCCTGGATCTGTAAATCAGCAGGAACCAGGCCGGGTGCAGTGGCTCACGCCTCTAATCCCAGCACTTTGGAAGGCGGAGGTGGGTGGATCACTTGAGGTCAGGAGTTTGAGACCAGTCTGGCCAACATGGTAAAACCCCATCTCTACTAAAAATACAAAAATTAGCCGGGTGTGGTGGCACACGCCTGTAATCCCAGCTACTCAGGAGGCTGAGGCAGGTGAATCACTTGAACCTGGGAGGCAGAGGTTGCAGTGAGCCGAGATGGTGTCACTGCTCTCCAGCCTGGGTGACAGAGTAAGACTCCATCTCAAAAAAACCAAAACCAAAAACAACCCACGAATCAGCAGGAACCAGTCCTCCAGGCAGAGGAAAAAGGCCTCTCTATTCCACACCCTCTCCTAGAAGCCTTTTGGCTGCCCTGGAGGCCTCAGTGGAACACCCTCCGCCCACCCTCCACCCTCTCCCCTCCCATTTTACAGGTCAAGAAACTGAGACACAGAGGAAGCCGAGCTGGCGTGGGGACACAGAATCCGAGTGGTAGGTCGGGATTTGAACTCAGGCTTTCCACATCTGAGCCCTGGGAGGAGAGGTCCAGGTCTAGGGGGCCCTGGGATAGGAGGAATGAGGAGAAAGGGGAAGTCGCTGGTGGGGGAGGCTCACCTTTCTCCCCTCGCTATCTCAGGGGCCTGAAAGGCCTCGCCATCTCTCCTGAGCATCTGATCAAGAACCAAACCTCCAGCATCTACTCAGTGCCAAACCTGTAACAGGCTTTACCTCATTTCCTTTCTGCCACAGCCCTACAATGCCATCTCTATTTTCCAAAGGAAGCATCCAAGGCACAGAGAGCTTCAACAACCCCACACCCAGGACGAGGCAGGGCAGGGCCTCCAACCCAGGCACCTGACTCCAGGACGATGCAGCCTCCCCCAGGGAGAACGTCACCAAACCAAGAAAAACAGGCATAGCCACCTGAATAAAAGTGTTAAGGAGCAGGAAAAGAAAATACAAACTCCACTACATTCTGAGTCAGTAGACACAAATTCTCGAAGATGCATAAAATATTTCAAGATTCACCATAAGGTGTGAAAATTTCCAGGGCGGGAAAGACCGGTGTTTGAGAAGATGCGTTCCTGACCGAGTTGTCACTTTTAGCCAAATTCACCCAGAGCCCAAAGCTGAAGGAAAAGAGGTGGCAACCAAGGGGGGCGGCCTGTGCACAGCACAGTAGGGTGTGCCAAGGCCCTGGCCTAGGAGCCTGAGGCCTCCTGAAATTCCCCACCTCTTCCTTGCTGACAGAACAGCAAGTCTCCTTGATCCCCACTTCTTCTTCTTTTTTATTTTTTGAGACAGAGTGTTACTCTGTTGCCCAGACTAGAGTGCAGTGGTGCAATCATAGCTCACTGTAGCCTTGACCTTCTGGGCTCAAGCGACCCTCCTGCCTCAGCCTCCTGAGTAGCTGAGACTACAGGCATGCACCACCACACCTGTCTAATTTTTGTATTTTTTGCAGAGATGAAATGTCGCTATATTGCCCAGGCTGGTCTCAAACTCCTGGCCTCAAGTGATCCGTCCGCCTCAGCCTTTCAAAGTTCTGGGATTACAGGCATGAGCCACTGCGCTTGGCCCCGCTTCTTTATAATGGTCGGGAAGCACCATTATACAGTCTCTTGGGTCCAGGCCGTCTGTGATGCTGTTAAAGATTCTGCAACTTCCAATGTGGATGAACTTTGAAACGTGATGCTAAGTAGAAGAGGCCAGACACAGAACACAGCACATGGCATTATTCCATTTCAGTGAAATATCCAGAACAGGTGCCACTGCACAGATGGAAAGTAAATCTGGGCTGCCTCAGGCTTCCTGGTGTGGGGACAGGGACTGAGAGGAGGTGACAGCTAAGGAGTGTGGGGTTTCTTTTTGGAGGTAACGAAAATGCTCAAAACCGGATTGTGGTAACAGATACACAACCCTGTAAATATACTAAAAGCCATTAACTATATAATGGGTGAGTTGTATGGTACATGAATTATATCTCAATTCTTTTTTTTTCTTTAGAGATGGAGTCTTGCTATGTTGCCCAGGCCTGGCCTCAAATTCTTGGGTTCAAGGGATCCTCCTGCCTCAGCCTCAAAAGTAGTTGGGACTACAGGCATGAGCCACTACATCAAGTTAGTTTTTTTTTTTTTTTTTTTTTGAGACGGAGTCTCGCTCTGTCCCCCAGGCTGGAGTGCAGCGGCGCGATCTTGGCTCACTGCAAGCTCCACCTCCTGGGTTCATGCCACTTCTCCTGTCTTAGCCTCCCGAGTAGCTGGGACTACAGGCCCCTGCCACCATGCCTAGCTATTCTTTTTTTATATTTTTTAGTAGAGATGGGGTTTCACTGTGTTCCCCAGGATGGTCTTGATCTCCTGACCTCATGATCCGCCCACTTCAGCCTCCCAAAGTACTGGGATTACAGGTGTGAACCACCGCGCCTGGCCAGTTTTTTAACTGTTGTAGAGATGGGGGTCTCATTATGTTGCCCAGGCTGCTCTTGAACTCCTGGCCTCAAAGGATCCTCTCACTTTGGCCTTCTGAATAGCTGGGACTACAGGCATGTACCACCACGCTCAGCTTCTATATCTCAATTATTAACACTTAAACAAAACAAAACAAAAGATTCTGCAACTTCCCAACAGGTAGTCATCCTCTGGGAACCTGTGGTCCCTTGTGGTCTTTGCATGTCATGTTCTCCTCCTCCAGGAAGCCCTCTCTGGCCCCGCAGCACCCTTCCCTCCTGCCTGTTACTGGCTCCTAGAGCTCCCTTGCCTTCTCCTCACCACTGCTCATGCCGATGTAAGGTAACCATTGCCATGATCACTGGCTGACACGGCCTCCTCCATCAGCCTGGCACACAGGAGGTGCTCCAGAAATGTTTGTTGATTGAATAAATGAGATAAAATTCCAAACCCTAGGATGCACATATGGCTTCTGGCCCTGGCTCTATTACCTTCCAGCCGAGAAACCCGGGCAAATCATGGAACTACTCAAGTCTTAATCCCTACTTCCGGGTAGCCAGGGATTCAGAAGGAAATGGACATGGAAAGTTCTTTTTGAAGTGGCTCCTTCCACAGCTGCTCCCATCTCAGTCAATGGAATCCTGTCCTTCCAGCCACTCAGGCCCAAGCCAAACATGAGGCCTCTCCCACCCTCGCCCCTCACATGCAAGCGTTCAGCAATGCCACCGGTCCCCCTTGACCCACCCTGCTGCCACCGCTGTGGACTGGGCCACCGTCACCTCGTGCCTGGATTATTCATGCCCTCTCTGTTGTCCTGCTTCTGACCTTGCCCCCAGCACAGAAGCCAGAGGAAATGGGTTAGGCCTTAAGTCAGAACTTGCCCCTCCTCAGCTCCACACTCCCCATGGCCTCACTGCACCTTGAGTAAAAAGCTAACAGCCCTGCAGACACCACAGGCAGCCCTGTGCCACCTCTGATTCTCTCCTCCACCTGCTCCCTTTGCCCTAGCTATGCTGGTCCTCAAATATACCAGGCACGTGCCTAACTCAGGGCCTTTGCACGTGCTCTTGCTCTGCCTGCAATGTTGATTGATTGTGTTCAGATGTCTGTGAACCTTACCCCCTCCCTTCCTGCAGAATCTTTATTGAGACCTGACCTTGCCAATGAGAGGGGGTTTGAGCCCAGCAGGAGGACTCAAAAGTATGAACTCCAGGTAAAAATCCAGGCCCTGCCAGTTATGTGGCTGCATGACCTTGGGCAAATATCTTCTCTGCAACTCAGCTGCTCATCTCTAATGTGGGGGTAGTTATAGCCCCTTCTTTATATGGTGGTTGTAGGGCTCAAATGAATTCAGCGAGTGTAACCTGTGTGTCTGCTACACTCCCCAGCCCTCCACAGCACATTCCCTGGGCCTGTCCCTGCCTGCTTTCCTGTTTTTCTCAGCCCATATCATTATACAACAGGCCATGTAATTGCGTAATTTATCCTGATCATTACGCCCCGAAGGGTAGAGAGTTCTGTCCGCTTCATTGCCACACGCTGTACCCGGCACGTGGAGGTGCTCCGTGAATACTTCATTCAACAAATATTTTCAATACTGGAGATATTTCTTGACCAATTGTCATGAGCTCTGGGTTTTCCCTCCTTCCCCGTCGCAGATGTGACATTTCTCTCTCCGGTCCAGCTCACACCTCTGAGCTCCAAATTCCTACAGCAGCTCTGCTAGCCATCTTGTGGACAGACACTGTGTACTCAATGTGTCCAGGGCCCAGTCTGTGACCTTCGCTGGAGACCATGCCCTCATCCCAGTATCATC